GTTTATAGTTGTGTGTGTGCATGTGCGCAAGTGCGGATGCGGGTGGGCGTGTGTGTGCATATATTTGTGTGTGCGTGTCTTGTCTTGTCTGTCTGTTCATGCGTCATGAAGGCGGTCGTCCCTCCAACCTCCGCCCTCCCTATCAGAATTCCTTCTCCAGGGGGTTTCCGACCGGGGTAGTGTTGGAGATATCGGTGGGCGAGCTGGAGGCCGCCCATCAAGACGTATTCTGTCGTTGTTCCTTGGTCAGTCTGTTCGTCCGTGGGTTCAGCTGCGAGCTTCCTAACCGAGGACCAACATTCGCGGCTCCGCCAACCCTACCGCTAGGCGTGGGGACTTTCAGTTGGTTAACCTCCCGCCCACCCATGCGGACGCATGGGTTGAATGTCGTGCGAGTCGATATACTATAACTATCTAAAACTCATCGATGTTCACGTGAACATCACTTAACTACCAGTAGTCGGCTGTTCATAGGCGGGGTATGAATGTTTAACACGGGTGAACTAGATTTGTCGCTTGCTTAATAAAGAGTGGTTTGAAACATAGTGTAAGTCAAAAATTTGGGAATTACCTTTATTCATCGTCGCTTCCACTTACATCTGACAGTAATAAACTGTCGCTATCGCTTTCCTCGTTGAAATTGACTATAACTGGCTCTATGATGGTGTCGATGTGGTGGTCAAGCTGCCACATTTTTGTTTCTTCCTTCACAACATGACGGATAGCATTCTGCCAAGCTTCGGGCGTTACTAGCTGTAAGTCTCAAGTAAAACCTTAACGTCTGGTAATTTGAAGGTTGTGTTATGGTGCGCAATATAACCCTTCACTTGAGCCCAGATGAGCTCTATTGGGTTCAGTTCACAGTGGTAGGGCGGTAACCGCAGCACAGTGACACCGTCAAACGGGATTCCTTTTTCGCGCAACCATTGCTGCATGTCACTTTTTCGAGATCCCATAGTCGGTACATGTTCGGCTCGACGACTATGGTAGGAAGCATTATCCATGACGATCACAGAGTTGGGCTCAACTCGCTGAAGCACCCCTTGAAACCAGCTCTCGAAGCAGCTGGCATTCATTTCGTCATGGTAATCACCTCCTTTCTTAGAGACGAAAATCAAGTCACACTCTTCTAAAAAGCCACTATCGCTATCAATATAAGTTACGATCAATCTTTGACCTTTCCCTGACGGTCCACGAAGACCTGTTGACAAACCTTCAATGCTTGCTTGTCGGTTACTCACTACGTTTTTGTCTATCCAGGTTTTTTTAACTGTGTGACCTGCATTTACCCATGTCTCGCCCAAATAATAGATTTTTCTGCTTTGTCGCCTATATTCAATCATTTCGCGTAGGTATTTTCGACGCCAGGCGACTATTTCAGGTCTCTCTATCAATACTGACTTCCGATTACGCGTTTCGTAACGAAAATTAATTTCGTGCAGGGATTTCCTCATTACTTCGACGCTCATTTGGGGTATAATTTAATTTTCCTTGATCGCTGCATGTACAGCCTTGAGGGTTGGTATCTCATTCCTAAAGAAGAATGAATGTACGGTTCGCCTTAACGCCATTTTGCTATCGTCATCTAATTTAACGGCTTTTCGTCCCTTCAAATTAAACTTTGGATCAGTAGTAGCTCCAGTTCTCTTCTTCTCATGCACCACCCTGCGAATGGTCCACTCTGGAACGCCTGTCATACTTTCACAACGCGCGAGTGCATCTCCCTGCGAAATAGTTCTGTTCAGATAATTGAACACGTTGAGCACGATTTCTTTCGCGTCCCTCTTCAGTGCTTTACGAAGCCGTCTACTTGTTCCCTGGCTTTCAGTACTTCCACTCGTGCCATTTATACTCTCCATGGTTAAGTATAACCAAAACAGTAACCACAGAAACCACAACAATAACAATCACACAACAATTCTTATAAAAACACACAATATGCGATCGCTCAACGAAACACGTTCCAATGCGTTGCCGACGCCTATGAGTCTGCCGGTCGAGGCGCGTCTTTGATTTCATTGGTTCTACCGGCGGAGAACAATCAGCCATTATTTCTATCTCTGTCTGTGCTGTTGACTACCGCAAAGCCACAGAAACGTACGCTATACGGCTGTATTGATCGACCAGCCAAAGATTGCTAGGGACGAAAGGGGGAAATGCGATGAAAAAACCTTACCATTAGACGATTTTATATGGAGTCATAGGCGGAGATCGGAGAGACTTGAATTAAAAATTCTAAAAGGTTATATTAAATTATCTATCTTATAATTTTTCTCATCAGATGGTGGCCTATGTAGACAAGCTATTTCATAAAGCTCCATTTTTTTAGCATTAGGATCATGCTCTATACCTTTTTTGCTCAACCACGTGATGATGTCTCTTTTTAGAGAAGATCTAGTTGGAGGCTTGTCTTCCAAAGCTGAATGGTAAGGTGCATTATCCATTATTATAATACTATTAGGAGGAATGTTAGGAAATAGTTTTTCAGTAAGCCACTTCGTGAAATTTTCTTGGTTCATTTGACCGTGATAATCACCAGTGGCACAGCCAGCCTTGAAAATGAGACAGGCTCCAGGAACAAAACCATCTTGCGAACCCGCATGAACAATTATAAGTCGTCCTGGAAATGAATAAATAGCCTCATTTTAGTGTTATTTTAAGTTTGCCAACACCTTTTTGAATCACTATGTATAAAAAACATATTTTTGAGAAAAAAATACTTGCAAGGGATTATGTATTCAATTAGACAAATTAAATGAGCACTTATTAAGAATATTCCAAAATTGAGAAAAATGTATAATAAGCAAAATCGAGGTGAAAGAAACTTTATTACCTGTAGAACTTATATTGCTCAGGACACCCATAATTTCTTCGCTTTGCCAGCATTTCTTGAAAGTGAGGTCATTATCAACCCAAGTTTCGTCCAAATAAATAATATGCCTTCCTTCTTCCCGGAACTTTTTAATAGACCTAAGATACTTGTATCGCCAATGTAAAATACTGGGTCTTTCCATTAGTAATTTCCTTTTGTTGTGGCATTTACGCCAGTAAAATCCTTTTGCTTTTAAAAGCAGCCTCAACGATTCTTTACCAAATGGAAATTCCATTTCTTCCTTCAGTTTGATTAGAAGTTTACTACAAGTAGGTACCACTTTAAAATCACAGTAAAATTTTTCTATCATTCTCCGAATAATGGAAAAATCGACTCCATCAATTTTTTGGATCACAGAAGGGCGTGATCTCTTTTTTCCGGGAGAAGCTAAAGGCTGTGTGGAGGTTGCATTTTGCCTGTCTTTATCTTCTTTTCTAATTTTACTTATAGTTCGTTCACTAACACCCGTATAATATGCCGCCCTTGCATTTCTAGCTACCAGTGGATAAACGAAAGTATTGTTAGCCGCTTCTGCATCGCAAGCACGTATCACGTTTGCTATTATTTCCCTTGCCTGGCTGTGAATAACTTTCCCATGCTTGAATTCCATTATCACCACTAAACAGTAAATTATATTTTCAAAGTATTTGCCAACTGCCTACGCCTATGGGAGTAGGTTTATAAATGACCGTGCCATCGGCACGTTATTCTAGTTTCAGATAAGATAAGAGTTTTGGACCAATCAGCGACCGGATGTTTACCTGCGGCCTGGGTTTTCCAGCTACATTGCCAAATTCAGCGGAACAATTCTATATCTTAAATATGTTAATATGTATGGACCGCATTTTATGTAGAACATCTGACAACTTCGCAATTTTTTGTCCGCATTCTTTCGGCTTGCAATCTTTCGCTGGTCCAACAGTACTGGAAGGAAGCCGGGATCGAGCTCTGATCACATGTTGATCACGCGTATGAGTCATTACAGTTTTAAATAGTTGTAGTATAGTACCTAACATTCCGCTATGTCCATTTAAGTACGGAACGCCCTGTATGAGTTACTGATTGAAAAAGCACTAGGCAGATATTACGAGGTTTGTCCGCAAAATACGTATAAAAGTGGATTAATAACTTTATTTTACAATTGTTCAGGTATGTCATTATGGTCTCCCTGAAAGTACTGAAAGTATTCAATTGTGAGGTCTTCATTTGCCGGACCGTTTCTGCCTTGATCCACCTGCCCCTTGTGCCAAATCCGGTCGAACTCGGGCCACACGAGCTCCGAGACAACGCTAAACTTCAATGTAGAAATTTCCGTTCTCGGTCTGGTCGCGAGGGACAAATTCCTTGTGAACAATGCCCCAAGAATCAAGGAAAACAATCATTATTGTTTTCACATTGGACCTTGATTTTTTGACTTTTTTGTCCTCCGTTCCCCTGCTTGCTTCCACTTCATGCTTTGAGATTTCAGCATCGAATTCGTAGAACCAAGACTCGTCTAGAGTGATGACCTGGTTGAGAAAGCCAACCTTTCGTCCGCTTCCAGCCAGTGCTCCTTGCTTTCTGTTCTGGAACGATTTTCGGGCATAATTTTTCCAAGTTTTTCTGTCACAATTTCGTGGACGATTGTCTTGGAGATTGAGAGTTTCTCGGCTATCATTCTAACTGTCAATAGACGGTCTTTCAACATTTCCCCCAGTGCTCGATGTGGAGGGGTGTCATGAGCGCTGGTCATCTTTCATATCTTCTCGGCCTTCCCGAAACCTTTTCAACCACTTGTTGACGGTTGGTTCCTTCAGAGAATTATCGCCGTAAACTTGTTCCAAACACTCAACAATCTCTCGACCATTCCTGTCTAGCTTTGCAAGAAACTTGATGTTGATGCGTTGCTTCTCGATCAAAGAAAGCTCCATGCTGACGGCAGGTAAAACAAGGATAAGGCACACCTACATTCTAGTTACTCGCAGAGCGCTCCGGCTCAAACTGAGCACAGATGGGATTGCATAGAGAGAGGGAACCACCGGGCCACACCTCCACAACGCCTTGACACGACGCCTCGAATTTTTATACGTATTTTCTGGACATACCTCGTACAGATATACCGAAGGAAAACGTTAATTATAACTTGTAGGATAAACGTACAGGTGAGAAGACTTGGCGGCGCGTTCGGTGCGAAAATTTCAAGATTTTCATTGCTCTCCACAGCTGCAGCATTGGCAGCATATAAGCTAAGAAGACCTGTAAAAATTTGGATGCCCTACATCACCAACATGAACGTAATTGGCAAGAGGTATCCTTTGCTATGTAGATATGAAGTGGGAGTAAATACGCAAGGTGTCATACAATATCTCAAAGCAGGTAAAGTTTATGAAATTACAAAACATTTGGCACTAAGTCTACACAACAACTTATACCAGGAATACCCTATAAACACGTAAATTTAAAATGAAATATATCTACAGTGTGAGTCTTCATAAAATATATATATCAAAATCAGGGAAACTACACTCTATTTCATCGACGGATAATTCATCAAAAAAAATTTAAAAACAATAATTGATTTTTTATGAATAGGTATTTTAAAATTTTTAGAGTCAGCTGCTAACCCTATTTAAATAAATCGTTACAACTTTTAAACTGAATGTCCTATCATATTGGAATAAATTTTGTAGTGATTTCAAATAACAGGCCGTACCAGTAAAGTGAAAATTTCCACGAAATTAAATGCTATAAATTTAAAATAAAGAGGAATATGCTGAAACTCACTATTTTTTCAATGATGTTTAAAACAATTGCTAAATTTCAATAAAAATTGTCCTATTTACCCTACCTTTTTTAAATGTTAAGTTATTCTACATGTTATTAGCTTCCTAATGGTAAAAAATTGCAAGTTTATTACTTAGATACAAGTTTTTAAATCAGCGTTTCAAAAAGCAGTGAACTCAGTTCAACGCCAGCGTAGGAATAAAACAACAGTATTAACCTACATGAATCATCCATTATCTTTAACAAATAAAATCAAATAGACTTGTCTATAGGATAATCATTTTGGCCTAATGCATCAAATGTTCAAAATGGCCACCCCGTTGCTGCAAACACATTGTAGCGCGAAGTGAAATTTGATGAGTTGCCCTACGAATCATCTCGGGATCATTTTTGATTTCGTTTGCAACACACAAAACTCTTTCTTCAAGTTCCGCTTCGCTGTTTATGGAACTGCTGTACACCCTTTGTTTCATTGTCCCCCATAAAAAATAGTCGAGAGGTGTGAGATCTGGGGAACGCGCCGGCCACCCAACAGGTCCTTGTCGACCGATCCAGCGGCCTGGATAATTTTCATTAAGAAAAGACCTGACAATCAGCGAGTAATGGGCAGGACATCCATCCATTTGAAGCATCATTCTTCGACGGGTTTGCAGCGGCACTTCTCCCAACAGCAAGGGCAGTTCAGTCCGCAAAAGCTCCAGAAATCTCTCTCCGTTTAATGTTCTCGGGAGTATTATTGGACCAATCAAAAAGTTGTCAATCAGTGCGGCCCACACATTTACAGAAAATTTCACTTGAAATGTTGAAGCCCTTTTCAGCCTAGGGTTTTCATCTTTTGGGCACCACTTATGTAAATTACGACAATTTACGATGTCGTCTCTCGTGAATTGAGATTCATCTGTCCACAGAATGGTTTTCGGGAATTCAGGATTGTCTCTTGTTTTGATTAAAATCCATGTAGACATAACGCACCTTGGACGCCAATCCACATCTTCATGCAAGTGCTGCACCCTTTGATAATGGTATGGATGCAACCCTGCTTTCCTCAAGATGCGCCAAACCGATTTCTGGGATACGCCATGACGTAACGCCAAACGTCTCGTACTAGTAGTCGGGTCAGCAAACAAATCATCCAAAATGGCTTCTTCGATAGCAACATGAATCATAACACCTGGTTCGCGGCGATCTCGAGGCAAACCAAGTCCAGTGTTAGCCAGTCTTCTATGTACTTCTTGGAAGTTACGGGCTGATGGAACAGGGCGTCGATTTGGAAATGCAGCTAGATAAGCTGTGCAAGCAGCTCTAGCACTCCCTCGGTACATTCCATAATAATAATGGATATCGGCAATGTGTGCCGGAGAGAAATCACTTATACGTGGCATGGCGACCAAAAAGCGAAAGCGTGATATGTAGCAAACGAAACTGATAAAGTTGGCAGGAGAAACACAAATAGCTGCCTAACTGCCCAACATTCAATTGTTTTTCAACTGGGCCCGCCTCCCCACTCGTACTTCAGCCCGCGCAACCCTACATTGAATCACCAAAAAAAAGGTATCTACATGATAAACAATGGTGCCTAGCAAGACGATGCGCATGGGCTTTTCTATAAAGACTCATAGAAACTGTTACATTTGAGTAATAAACGTTCAATTTTTACTTTTATAAAGCTGATAACATGTAGAATAACTTACAAATAAAAAAAGGTAGGGTACAAGGGACGATATTTATAGAAAATTTGAAATTATTGTAAAAATGATGAAAAAAAAAACAGATTTTCATCAAAGTTTTCTTTATTCTAAATGGATGTCATTACTTTTCCTGGAATTCTTCAGTTTTCAGGCACGTTCTTTTACCAGCAATCACTACAAAATGTATTCCAATATGATAGGACATTCAGTTTAAAAGTTGTAACGATTTATTTAAATAGGGTTAGCAGCTGACTCTAAAAATTTTAAAATATTCATAAAAAATCAATTATTGTTTTTAATTTTTTTTTGATGATTTATCCGTCGATGAAATAGAGTGTAGTTTCCCTGATTTTGATATGTGCACTTTATGAAGACTCACACTGTATTTCACATTTATGTTTAAAATAAAGTTAGAACCTTTGTTTGGATAATGATATCACATAAATGCTTGCGTCTGGAAGCTACACAAATTCGAGACCTCTTGATTACGTTTTGTATCATTTTTATCATTTTTTTGGTAAGCTTCAGGAGAAGTGTTAAGAATACAACCTTCATTTTTTAGAAATACCTTCAGAAAGAAAGCTGGAACTCTTCCATCTGGTGACCTTGGAGAGATGGCTGTAATAGAGATATCAAATACCCGGCGAATCATATTTCACAAAGCACTAATCATATTTCTATAATAATAATTAATTTGCTAAAATACAATATACAGGGTGTTTCAGTTTATTGTTGCATAACTTTAAGATTCGATAGAACTTTTAAAATTAATGCATAAAGTCTATGGGGTTGTCCAAATCGGACGCAGGAAAGTAAACGCATATTAAAACAAGAAAGTTTCATATTCAAATCAAGTTGGGTACTTTATTTTGAAGGTTCATTTATACCATTTATGTATGAAAAATAATATCGCTCAAATGTTCACCACGACTGGATTTACAGACGTCCACGCGATTGTCGAAATTTTCAATGACATTCTGCAACATGGTCGGTTCTATGGCATTTATTTCGGCTTTGCTTTTCAAATATCCCCATGAAAAGAAGTACAAGGGAGTCAAATCGCACGGGCTTGGTGGCCATGGCACATTTCCTCTGCGCGAAATCACGCGATCACCGAAGAAGGACTGCAATCGATGGATATTGACGTTGGTTGTGTGGCATGTTGCACCGTCTTGTTGGAAATAAACATCGTCCATATCCATTCCTTTAAGTTGCGGCAAAAAATAGTCCTCTATCATCACGTGATATCGCTCAGAATTGACGTTAACGGCGTCCCCGGCCGCATTTTCGAAAAAGTAAGGTCCGATGATGCCTTTTGACCAGAATGCACACCACACACTCACTTTTTGAGGATGCATCGGCTGCTCTTGATACACACGGGGATTTTCGTTCGCCCAGATGCGGCAGTTTTGCTTGTTTACCGTCCCATTCAAAGTGAAATGCGCTTCGTCGCTGAACATGATTTTTGATGAAAAATTGGCATCAATTTGGCGGTGTTCAAGGAGCCAGTCTGAGAACGTTCGGCGCGAAAAATGGTCGGCCCGACGCAGCTCTTGCATCAATTGGATCTTGTAGCCGTGTACATTCAAATCCTTGTGGAGAATGCGGAGCAAACTCGTTCTCGAAATGCCCAATTCTTGGGATCGACGCGTTGTTGATTGTTTCGGATCGTCTCTCACACTCTCCTTCACAACAGCAATATTTTCCGGTGTGCGAACGCTCCTTGGCCGGCCAGAGCCTGGCAGATTTGCCACAAAACCTGTTGCCTCGAATTTACGCACCAGACGACAGATGGTTGTTTCGTTTGGGCGGTTGTTGCGACCGAAATGTTCACGAAGCGCGCGAAACGTGTTTTTTATTTTTGCACCATTTTTGTAGTGCTCTTGAATAACTTTAATGCCGCCTTCAATCGAATACGACTCCATAGCGATCAATGGTAAACATTCAACTAACAAAATGACATGTCGGTGACAGAAAACAAAGATGGCGTCTATGTCAAATTGACGTTTACTTTCCTGCGTCCCTATTAGACAACCCAATATATAAACATGGGTCGAAAAATGCGTGGCTTCCGAAATACAGGGTGTTTAAATTTACTTTCTAAAATAGTTTTTTTTTAAATATTTCGAACAATATTCGATGTATAACACTGAAAATTGGTATACAAGGGTTTTTTGGTACGGCAAAACGAACCATGGGCATAGTTTTACTGTAGCCGCTAGAGGGCGCTCTCTACTGTACCTGTAGTGTATTAAAATGACCCAAAAATGTATCTTAGTGCAATTTTTTGCTTTTTGAATAAAAAACTGATTCTTCGCACTTTTCAACATAAAAAAAGCTCTCATGTGAGTTTTCGCTATAGTTAGCCGTTTTTTAGATATTTCGATTTTTAAGGTTCGATGCATTTTTTATTATTTATGATAAAATAACGTTAAAAAGTCAGTATCTCGATAATTTTTAGAAGTAGGCTGTGCCTGCAAATATTTTTGAAATCGAAGGCAGAATAAGGTTAAACGTCAATTAGTTGACAGTTAGTTTTGTTGTCTGTTGAAACCTGAAACGTTTCTTGCAATTGTGAATGCACGAAATTTAGTTTCTTTTACCCGTTTTTTTTTTTGTAAGTTTTATAAAAATGCCATTTTTATTCTCCAATCAAGAGTTAGCGGATATTCATTTTGTGTATGGCTTTGTAAATGGAAACGCAGCAGAAGCAGCCAGAGAATACGCACGAAGATTTCCAAACAGACGACATCCAACTCGCTCAGTATTTGTAAGAGTGCATCGCCAAATAATTGAAAATGGTTTTGGAAATCTCCAAAGGGATCAAAACATAAATGTTCGTCAACGCAGATTTACCCGTATGATTCTGCGTGAGTTTGATAGAGATCCGACCACAAGTGTTAG